AAGGATAATCATAACCTTTAGGAGATCCTAGACAACAACTGAAAATTATGGACTCTCTCCCTAGATAAATGTACATTATGCACATGTAATATTTTGCATGAGTTTCAAAGTAGTTCATGGAACTCCTGATGCTCACACAAAATTAAGAACAATATAGGACAAAATTGAAACTCCTTAGCCCAGCCCTTTGTCATCAGACCCTCCTGTATTTCGGTATCATCTCTGTCTGTGCTGCTTTGCATCCTATATTCTAACCATGAAAACTACTTGAATTTCACTAAATGAATTTAACTGTTTAAAGTCCTCGTGTATTGGGGCAGCTGGATGGCTCAGTTGATTGAGTCTCCAACTTTGCTCAGGTCATGATTTCATGGTTTGTGAGTTTGAGCCCTACATTGTATCTCTGCTATCTGCATGGAGGCCTCTTTGGATCCTCTGTCTCCTTCTCTCTGCCTTTACCCAGCTCATGTGCTCTCTCTCTCTCTCTCTCTCAAAAATAAAATAAAACATTAAAAAATTTAAAAAAATAAAGTCTTCATGTATTTACATTGTACCACTTCCTTTGACTGGAATAAAGAAAGATGTTGTTATAAATATTTTGACAAGCCTGTGCCACAATATTAAAACCTTTGTTTTTATTAACAGATATTTATAATGTAACAGGGTATCTGTGATATGAGCTACTTTTGGGATGGGAATGGTGAAGGATCAATGGTATGAAGATCAATACCAATGTGAAGCTCAAAAATGGAGTTAGAATTGCTTTTTTAGTATATCATTTAAAAATTAAAAAGAATGTAATGAAATGATTTATGAAAGTGATATGAAAACATAAGGCAAATGTATCTAAACTTTTACAGGTGAAACAATATAGTTTGACACTAGGACTAGAAATCACTTAAAAATTTTTTTAAATGACAAATGATATTGTCAACATTAGGTACATTTCTGACAGAAAAGAGCTTCTGTTTCCCCTATGCATTAAGGAAAACTTGAATCCTCCACTTACAATTGTATTCTGGGGCACCTGGGTGAGTCAGCTCACTAAGCGTCTGATTTAGGCTCAGGTCATGATCTTGTGATTCATGAGTTGGAGCCCCACCTTGGGCTCTCTGCTGTTAATGTGGAGCCCGCTCCAGCTCCTCTGTCTCCTTCTCTCTATTTACCACTTGCTTGTTTTCTATCTTTGTCTCTCCCTCCCTCACTCTCTCTCTCTCAGAAATAAATAAACATTTAAAATTTTTTTATGTTTTATTTATTTCTGAGAGAGAGAGAGCATGAGTAGGGGAGGGTCAGAGAGAGAGGGAGACACAGAATCTGAAGCAGGCTCCAGGCTCTGAGCTAGTTGTCAGCACAGAGCCAGACGCGGGGCTCACACCCATGAACCGTGAGATCATGACCTGAGCCAAAGTCAGACGCTTAACCGACTGAGCCACCCAGGCACCCCAAAAATAAATAAACATTTAAAAAAATTTAATTGTATTCTGACAACTGGAAAACATTTTCCCAGATGGCCTTGTGGCTCTGCATTTCAAACCTTGTTTCTCTTCTTATAACCGTATATTTATAGTGCCAAGTGTGGTAGGACATGTTCATTGTGCAATATAACTCCTGTCCTTGCATCTGCTTATTGCAATTTTAGACGAATTGGTACAGTGGATAAGAGTAGCTCTGGAAGTCATTTCTACACCAGATCAACTAGCAATAATTTAACTGTAGGAAGTGATGGCTATTCACATAACCCAAACTAAAAGTATCTCTTGAGTTTACTTTCCCTTACCAATATCCCAAAAATGTTTAAAACCAGCTCCTCCTGCTCCCTGACACATCACATAAAAGGGGAAGTAAGTGGAGGGGAATTTGGAGTCGGAAAGAACCAGCAAGATTAGCTGTTTGAAGTTAGCATATCTCACTTTTGGAAATTTTACAAAAACATATGACCATGTAAACATATTAGGGTGTTTCCTAGGGCCTTATGAAGAGCCCAGGTAAGTGAGGGGTCTGGAAGCTTAAACTTCATTAGCTTTGTAGTAAATCTGCCTAATAATACCATACATACTGAAAATTCAAAAGATGCACAAGGATAATGCATTGTAAAGTTTCTTCCAAACATGTCCCTCAGCTACTAGTTCTCTTCCCTAGAAGCAAGAAATATATAGTTTCCTGAGTCGTCCCCAAAATACTATGCATAGATAAGCATTTTGTGCTGAAATGTTTGGTCACCATCTTTTCTTACACAAATATTAGCCTGCTATATACAATGTTTTGCATCTTGCTTTTTTTAAAGACACTTTATTGGATAGAGTTCACATACTATACAATTCTAGTTTAAAGTGTATGGTTCAGTGATTTTTAGTATATTCACAGATATGTATAACCATCACCAAAGTTGATTTCAGGACATTTTCATCATCTCAAAAAGAAACCGGATACCCTTTAGCTATCCCTTACATCTCTCCCTGCCAAGTCCTTCTCAACCACTAATCAACTTTCTGTCTCTCTATGTATTTCCCTGGTCTGGATATTTTACATGAATGGAATCATATAATATGCAATTCTTTGTGACTTGGTTCTTTCACTTAGCATAATGTTCTCAAGCTTCATTCTTGCATCAGTATTTATACTAATCAGCACCTATATCAGAATTTAGTAATTTGTGTCTTCTTGGTCTTTTACTTGGTTAGCTTCATGGAGGTTTATCAATTTTATTGATCTTTTCAAAGAACCAGATTTTGCCTTTGTTGATTTTTCCTGTTATGTTCTTATTTTCAGTTTCATAGACCTCTGCTCTAATTTATATATTTTTCCTCTGCTTACTTTAGGCTTAAATTATTCTTTCTCTGGTTTCCGAAGGTGGGAGCTTAGATATTTTATTTTAGATCTTCCCTACTAATATATCTACTTAATGCTATAAATTTTTCTCTAAACACTGTTTTCACTATGTCCTATAAATTTTGATAAGTTATATTTTTAAATTTTCATTTAGCTCAAACTGTTTTTAAGTTTCTCTTGAGACTTCTTTTTTGACCCAAGTGTTACTTAGAAGTGTGATGTTATACATTCATTTTTGAAAGATATATTTCTGTGAATAGAATACTAGATTGACTAGTTTTTGCCTCTCAGTAGTTTAAAGATGTTTCTCCAATGTATTGTTTCTGACAAGAATTCTGATCTCATCCTTTGTCCCTCCTTATGTAAGAAGTCTTTCTCTTTGGTGACTTTAAAAAAAAATAACAGCTTTACTGAGACATAATTAATATACCATATAATACACAGACTTAACATGCATCAGTTGATTGACATTTGGGTTGTTTACTTTTTGCCTATTATGAATAATGCTGCTATGAACTTTGTATACAAGTTTTTGTGTAAACAAATGTTTTCATTTCTTCTGAAATGAAACCTAGGAGTTGGATTTCTGGGTCATAAGGTAACTCTATGTTTAGCCTTTTAAGGAACAGTGAGACTATTTTCCAAAACGATTGCACCATTTTACATTCCTACCAGCAGTGTATAAAAGTTCCAGTTTCTCTAGAGTATATTTGTAGTTTGGACAAATAAAAAAGTTGCCAAAATGATCCTACAGAGGTGATACCAATTCACTCTCCCACTAGTAATGTACAAGAGTGTCTGTTTCTCCACACCCTTGCCAACATAGGGTTTTATCAAGATTTTTTGTTTTTGGCAGTATGATCAAAAGTGGTATCGTTCTGTGGTTTAATTCACATTTCTTGTACTGACTGTCATTAAGCTTCTTTTCATAGTTTAAAAACCATGTGTACCTTTTTGACAGTTGTTACTCATTTTTTATTGAGTTGTTGGTCTTTTTCTTACTGACTCGCAAGAGCTCTTTATAAATTAAGATGATAGGTGCTTTATCTGTGATATGAACAGCAAATATTTCTCCAGTTTTTTATTTGTCTTTGTCCATAGTGTTTTTGCCATGCAGAAAGTGTGTGCGTAGTCAAATTTATCAAGCTTTTCTTTTAAAGTTTTTGAGTTCCCAGGGGCACCTGGGTGACTCAGTCGGTTAAACGGCCGACTTCGACTCAGGTCGTGATCTCGTGGTCCGTGGGTTCGAGCCTAGAGTCGGGCTCTGTGCTGACAGCTCAGAGCCTGGAGCCTGTTTCAGATTCTGTGTCTCCCTCTCTCTCTGCCCTTCTCCTACTCATTCTCTGTCTCTCTCTCTCTCAAAAGTAAATAAATGTTAAAAAAAAAAAAAAAGCTTTTGAGTTCCCAATCAGAAATGTTTTTTATTCTCTCATAATTTATTTTAATCCCTTTTTCATATTTCATATTTAAATATTTTATCTATTAGTAATTTAGTTTTATTATAAAGTGTAACATATGGATATAACTTACTTTTCCAGGTGGCTCTTCAGTTGTTAAAATGCCATCTTTCTTCCCATTCATTTGAAATGTTGTTTTAACCATATACTAAATTTTCACATGGATATGTGTATTTATAAACTTTCGATTATATTTCTTTGATCTGTATGTCTATTCATATGCCAGTAACAATGCTTTAATTGTTAAAATTGTTTAATTGTTTAAATTATTGAAGTTTTAGAATATGTTTTACTATACGGTCAGGTTAATTCCCCCATTTTTATTCTTTTCCTTTTTCTTTCTTTTTTTTTAATGCTTATTCAGTTTTGAGAGAGAGACAGAGTGCAAGTTGGGGGAGGGCAGAGAAAGAAGAAGACACAGAATCTGAGGAGGCTCCAGGCTCTGAGCTGTCAGCCACAGAGCCCGATGCAGAGCTCAAACCCAAGAACTGTGAGATCATGACCTGAGCCAAAGTCAGATGCTTAATAGACTGAGCCACTCAAGTGCCCCTATTATTCTTTTTCTTAAGATTTCATAGCTGGTATTACTTATTCATTATGTTAGTTACTTATTGCTGTGTAACAGATTACTCCCAAAGCTTAGTGACTTAAGTAATAAACAGTTACTAATCTCACAATTTTTGTGGGTCAAGAGCTTGGAATCAACTTAACTGGGTTCTTCTGGCCCAAGGTCTCTCATGAGGTTGTATGTAGTCAAGATATCAGCTGAGGCCACAGTCATCTGAAGGCTTGATGGGACCTGAAGGATTTACTTCCAAATGGGCTTGGGCAAAAGGCCTCAGTTTTTCACCACATGGACCTCTCCACTGACCTTTTTGAGAAACCTCACAGTGTTGCATTTGATTTCCCCACAAGCAAATGATCTAAAAAGAGAAAGCAAGAAGGAGGCCACATAATTTTTATGACTTAGTCTTAGAAATGACACACTGTCACTTTATCATAGTCATTAGAAGTAATTCTAGCCACACTCAAGGACCAAGGAGTTAAGCTCCACTTCTTAAAGAATCTGTAGAAGTATTTTAAAATTACCAAATTCATTTTTCTGTATGAATGTTAGAATTAGTTTATCTGCTTTCCAAAAATTAATATTGATGGATATAATAATAATAATATAGTAATGATATAATAATATTGATTAATATTAATACTTTATTAGAAACTATTTTGATTTGTTTAAAAACAGTTCTATCACAATTTTGCAACAGCTATGTTCTTTTTACTATCATAAAACAAAATAAAAGTTAAATAAATAAATAAAACATGGAAACAATATTGAGGTCCAAGCAACCTGCAATACGTACAGGAAAAACTTTAAAAATAAAAGGTACACTTTCATCCTCAGCTTATCATTTTCTTTTTATTAAAATGATAGAATGTCCAGCTCATTTATTGCTAGTTGGCAACCATAGAAGTATATTTCTCACTGGCCTGTTTTGTCCATACCAGCTTCTAATTGTCAAAATAATTCTGTTGAGAGATTTTCGATGAAAGGGAAGAGAAGGAAGTGGATTTTAATATCAGGAAAATTTAACAAATACAAAACTCTTTTCTGGCAAACATATTTATCATAAATAAGTTATATACATTTAAGGGTTCATGGCAGCATGGAGCACGTGGGTGGCCTGTCTGTCGAGTGTTCATCTTTGGCTCAGGCCGTGATCTCACAGTTTCTGAGTTAGAGCCCCGCGTTGGGCTCACTGTTGTCAGCCTACCAACACAGAACCTGCTTTGGATCCTCTGTCCCTCTCTGTCCCTGCCCCTACCCCGCTCATGCTCTCTCTCAAAAAAAAAAAAATAATAATAATAATAAATAAATAATGAAGGTTCATTGCAGCTTTAAAAAAGAACTCCTTATTTTGAAATCGTTATAAATGCATAGAAGCTTGCAAAAGAATATACAGAGGAGTCCCGTGCAGTCTTCCTTTAGACTCTTCCAATATTCACATTTTACACACCTATAATATTACATCAAAGTCAAGATATTGACATTCATCAATCTACGGAGCTTATTTACATTTCACCATTTATACATGTACTTGTGTTTGTGTGTGTGGCCTTATGGCATTTTCTCACATAGGAGCCTTGGATAGTCTGTGCCACAACCAAGATTTCCAACTGTACTCATCCCCATAAGACTCCTTCCTTTCACCACTTTAGAGTATCATCTCAAACCCTTAGCAACCTAGTGGTTGCCATTCTCCATCTATATCTCCATCCAGTCTATTCTCCATCTCTATTATTATGTTATTTCACCAATCTTAAATAAGTGGAATCATCCACTATGTATCCTTTTCAGATTTTCTCTTTTCATTTGGCATAATTTCCTTGAAGTTCCTCTAAACTTCTGTTGTGTGTATCAGTAATCTGTTCCATTTTTATTGTTGAGTAGTATTCCAGAATGTACAAACATCACAATTTGTTTAACCATTCACCTTTTAAAGGAAATTTGGATAGTTTACAGATTTTACGATTAGGATTGAAGTTGCTATGAACATTCATGTACAGGTTCTTATGTGGAAATAAGACATTTCCCTGGGATAAAAACCCAGGAGTGGATTGCTGGGCTGTATGGTAAATCCATTTTTAATTTTGATAGGAATTATGGGGCTATATTCCAGGATGGCTATAATGTTTCACATTCCCACAAACAATGTATGAGTACACTCTTTACAGCATTTGCTATTATTGCTATTTTTTATTTTTGCCATTTTTATGTGTAATGATATTATAGTTTTAATGTGTATTTCTCTAATGGCCAATAATGTTGAAAAATCTTTTCCTGTGTTTATTTGTCACCTGTTTATCCCCTTTGGTGAAATGTCTGTGAAGGTCTTTTCTGTGTCAATGTCCCAGTTTTCTAATTGGATTCTTTATTTTTTTGATGTTGAATTTTGAAGGTTCTTTATATAGAGATAAAAGGCTTTTTTGTGTGCTAAGTGGTTTGCAAATATTTCCCCCCAGTATCTAATTTTCTTTTCATCCTTTTTATGGGATCATTGGTAGAGGAAAAGGTTTTTATTTTGATGAGGTCCAATTTGTCTATTTTTCCTCTTATGAATTATGCTTTTGGTGTCAAGTCTAAGAACTCTTTACCTAGTCCTAGTTTCAAAGATTTTCTCATCATGTTTTCAAAGATGTTCTTTTCTATGAATTTTATAGTTTTACATTTAAGTCTGTGATCCATTTTGAGTATATTTTTGCATCAGATGTGAGGTTTAGGTTGTAGGGGTGTTTTTGTCTTGTTTTGTTTTTGCCAGTGTATACCCAATCACTCTAGCACTATTTATTGAAAAGGCTATCCCTCCTTTGTTGAACTGCTTTTGCTCCTTTGTCAAAAATTAACTGAGTATATTTGTGTCTTTTCTGGGTTCTCTATTCTTTTCCATCGATCTATGTGTCTATCTCTTCTTCACTACCATACCATCTTGATTACTATAGACACTGTAATAGCTGTGTTTCTAGCTGTTATCTTTTTATTGTGTTTTTTTCTCAAAAATTTCTAAAATTAACTAATAAACAGGTGCTGTGAAGGTAACAATATTCTCTGATTTCTCTCATTCTAGTGGCAGATTGAGTCAACTATGATAAAAATCTTTTCATCTCATTCTTGTCTATTTGGATTTGTGGTTTATTCAGACAGTCAGGAGAGTGTTATATGTAAACATTATGACATATGATGTATTCAAAGTCTGGAATATTTCTCAAGAGGCTATTAAATTCATAGATTCATGAGATCAGACATGTAAGCACTTAGACTAATCTTTAGTGCATTGTAAGTGCTCAGTTTGTGTCAGTTTAATTGTTCTGGTTACTTTATAATAACTTATTTTTATGTTTATAGAGGAGAGAGAACTGGAGGCGGCAGAAGAGGAACTATCATTTCTTGGCTAATTAAACTTTGCTGTAATATTCCTGGTGTGGTTTCAACAAAGTAAATATTAGTACTCTCAGGGTGTACAGAAGGAAATTGAACTTTACAGAGGATGAATAACTGGCCAGGATCATAGATATGGGCAGAGCTTCTTAATCTTTCTTTTGGAGAGGTTACTTAGGTAAATATGTGTCAAGCACCGAGAGCCAAGTTTATATCACTCACAAGAACTGTGGACTCTGTTGTTGCTAATTCAGCTGTGGCTAACCTTTTCATGGTAGGATGGAGTTGAAATGAAAAAATATGTATCTAGCACCTGCGTTTCATAATTCTGTATCCTGAATGTTGTTCTTTCTTAGTGTCCTGCTTTGACATTGAGTGGTGCTTTAACAATTAAGACCCTACTTGGTCACTTCAACAGAAAATTGTTCTGTCTTCTATCAGTGTCTTTTTCTTTGATGTTCAAGGAATCCAAATAGTACCTAACTCTAACCCTAGAGTATCTATCCTATTTACCTCTACTTTATCCTGAAGTTGCACAGCCCAGACATCTCAAGAAAATAACATGTTCATCATAGCTGTTGCTCAGCCTTACTCTTTCTTTTTTTTTTTTTTTTAATTTTTTTTAATGTCTTATTTATTTCTAGGAGAGAGAGAGAGAGACAGCGTGAGCAGGGGAGGGTCAGAGAGAGAGGGAGTCACAGATTGAAACAGTCTCCAGGCTCTGAGCTGGCAGTCAGCACAGAGCCCGACGTGGGGCTCGAACCCACGAACCGTGAGATCATGACCTAAGCGAAAGTCGGACGCTTAACCGACTAAGCCACTCAGGCGCCCCTCAGCCTTACTCTTTCTTGAAGAGAGGCTAACAGACTGTCCTTTACAGCAGTCTGGAGACCAGTTGTTGCTGAAACATGTGGGCAGTTCAGTCAAGAGGAATAGATTTATAGATTTTCTGCTTGTCATCTCTGTTGCCAGGATGCTGATGTACAGTGACCCATGATTGACGTCCTGGGGGGCTTCAAACTAGGACTCTTTTTCTTTCAGTTCCAGAATAGGGATGTCTGTCCCTAAACAATTTGGCCCCCCACAGATTACTCTTATTCCATGTTCATGCCCTCCCACCTCCAACATGGTCTAGAAGGGCTTCCTTTTAACAGGGCTCTAAGCCTCATTCAGGCAAGGTGCATCAATTGTGGCTATGACAGAGAGAAACAAAGGCCTGGACCACCCCAGAGAAAACGGTGAATCATCTTTCAGAAGCTGCTGAGGTGATAGTGGGGTTGGCAACAGAGGGACTGTGAAACGGAGAGACAAGCACTCATAAAGCCTATACTAACATGCCAAGAGCTGGGAGAGTGTGTTCATCATGTCTTTATTTTTCAAGTTTTATGTTGGTTTGACATGTTGGGGGCCTTGCTGGGTGGGGAGAGACTGCGCCTTCCAGGGTTAGCTAATTCCTAGAAATAGTAAATAGCTTGCCTGAGAACATACCTTTCATATGCAGACATGCTGATCCAGCTAACCCTCCCCTTTATCTAACTCTCATGTACCAAGCTAGTATTTCTCCTGCCCTAAATCACCTCAGGGCCATGTACCAAACAACTAGAGACCACCCCAAGCCTAGAGAACACTGACATTATTCAAACCAGTCTATCCAAGCTGTTTACCCTGCCTCATTTCTTCCTTCCTGTGGAAAGCACAATAAAAACTCTGGGTCATACTTTCCCCTAATTCCTTCTGTCTCCTGACCAGAGTGCTTCCCCCCGGTGGCCCTGTGTGGCGTTGTTATGTGCCCCTCCTGGGAACTGAGTAACAATAAAATCTTTCAATGACATTAGCCTTTCTATATCATCATTCAGTCACCTCCATAAATTAAAATGCCACAGGTACAATCAAGACAGATAGTCACTTTTCATATATGATCCCAATGAACTCTCACATCTCCTAGGAAACTAGAGCTCAGTGAAATGAAGTTCCTTCACAATATTCCACAGTTTTAGTACAGAGCCAGAATGTAAACTTGGGATTTTCTGATGTCGTAGCTGAGTCAAAACTATAACCTGACCTTAAGCCCCTCGACCCTATACTTACCTTCTTAGTCTTTACCCTGGAAAGACTGGAAATAAAAGCTCTAGGTTATAATTCAGCTAGGCTCCTGCCATAGAATGAATTGTTTCCCTCAGATTTATATGTTGAAAGCTTAACCTTCAGTGTGACTGTATTTGGAGATGGGGCCTTTAAAGAGGTGATTGAGGCCAAATGAGTTCCTAAGGGTATAGTTCTGACGCAATAAAACTGGTACTTTTACAAGAAAAGAGACACCTTCTCTGCCACGTGAGGCTGTAGAGGGAATGCGGCCATCTGCAAACCAGAACGAGAGCTCCCACCAGAACCTGACTGTGTTAGCACCCTGATCTTGGACTTCAGCCTCCAGAGCTTGGAAAAAATAAATTCTTTTTGTTTAAGCCACCCAGTCCACAGTATTTTGTTATGGCAGCCTGAGCTAAGATAGCCCCTACCTTATTTTTTCACTTTGGCAAATTTCTTCTTCTCTCTTAACCTTAGTTACCCATTTAGCCATAATTCTAAATTTATTTGTAAAGGCACAATTCTCAAATTAAGAACAAATCTCAGTTCTGCTTCTGATTTAGTTGTAGAAAATGACAAAAGACTGTCAATGTCATATATTTTTTAAATTTTCTAATGTTTATTTATTTTTGAGAAGGGAGGGAGGGCAGAGAGAGAGAGAAGGAGACACAGAATCCATAGCAGGCTCCAGGCCCTGAGCTGTCAGCACAGAGGTCGACACAGGGCTTGAACTCACGAACTGCGAGATTATGACCTGAGCCAAAGTCAGACACTTAACCAACTGAGCCACCCAGGCACCCCTGTCAATGTCATATTAACAAGCCAAACATACTTTTAAAAAATGCTTTAGAGAGCTGAAGACACAGGAAACATAGAAAGAAAAGAAACACAAAGAAACGCTCAAAGTAATGAGTCCTTCCAGGAAAGAAGAGACATACGGCTGCTCTCATCACTGGAGCAACAACAGGAAAAAAGAACCTGCCATACATGGGTGTAACAAGAAATTAGTTAAACTTTAGTCAACATTTAATGGGCAGATATGGGCTGCCACGACTGATCAAAATTCCAAGGACACGCAGCCAAGAGCAAGCCTGCGTCCACCCATTCAGTTTCTCTTATGGGTCCTTACTCAGGGTAAGTGGGCAAAATGTTGGGAGGAGAGAAGGAAAACTGAAAGAGGTCCTCTCCTAAGGTGTACAGAGTCTCCCACAAGTTGAGTCAAGAGGAACAGCCCAGGAGAGTGGAGAGAAATCCACCAGAGGTACTCCAGGGTCCAACTACGAGGGTCTGAAGATGAGTCAGGAGTCCTCACAAGCAATACAGACTTCCAACTACCAAAGCATGAAAGCTCAGCAGGCACACTGGGACAAAACTCTCTGAGGCATTC